GTAATTACTATTTACTTCAGTATCCAATATAAATAGGAAGTATCAATTCAGTTTTAGAAGAAATATAAAATTTAGCAATATTGAAATCATTTTTTTAAATTTATAATCCTGTAGTTTCGTAGGGATAGATCTTAGAACTTTAATTGTTTTGTCATTTTGTAGCGACATTATCTCTCCATAAGAAAAATTAACATATTTTTTCTTTGTATGATGTGTCGTCAAAACACAAAATCATAATCAAAAGAGGAAGAGAGTGAGTTATAAAAGGATACTTGTTTTCGATGTCTAATTAATTCTTATGGAAGTCAGTCAAATCTATTAGTTTTTATTTCTTATTTTACAATGCCATATTTAAGCAAGGGAAAACAGAGAACTGGTGTCTTAGAGTTGCTACTTGGATGTCTACTCAAAAACTTCTAGATGTTATTTAAGTTCGGTTTAGCGGAAATTACTCAAATTATCTGACCGTGAGTTATGTCAAGACATTTCACTTGATTGATATCAGTAATGCATCAAGGGATTCAAAAACAAAAAAGAAATTATCTTTAGTTGATCTTGGTACTTCAAGAATTGTGCTTTAAAAATAGAATGAACTGGTGAGGTTCTTTTAGGTGCAATAGAAAAAAATTTTACTCTATTCCACAGCATACTTTTTTTTATTTAGTCACAATTTATTATTAATTGATAAATAGATGGGAAAGTGAGGTTCTAACGAATTATGCTGCAATGATCTGAAATACCTCAGTTGGAATAAGTCAAATCATTTTTGTAGAATTCATAGTATTTCTATCACACAGTGAGTACATACGGCTTTTTTTTCTTATTCTAACATGGATCGATAGAGAAAAAAGAGGCGCACAAGAAATCGAGTTTGTAATCTCGGCAAGTCATTTCCTATGCAAGATAATTTGAGAGGTTTTCCTGTGCTCTCGATTTAGTATCTACGACCAATACACACACAGAATCAATGATCAGAAGGATCTACCTTTGTTGATGTGCCTAATGACAGATTTGTAGGAGTTACCAATTTGATTAGACATCAGAATCAGACAGAAAACACTTCCGCTATATATCGGTGAAAAAATCTTTTTTATGTTCTCTAGTATGCATGCAAGCGAAAATTTCTGACATTTTTTTTTCTTAATTTTTTCTGCATGATTGGATAGAGCGCATCGATTTTCTTATGGAAAGTTCTTTTCCAAATCTCAATAGCAAGAATTTCAAGAAAGCTGATCAAAATAATGTTGAATTTCAGATTTCTTTACATAAAGGATGCCAATTTTTCCTACATCCGTGCATATAATGAGTTCTTTTTTTTTATTCCATACAACTCTTTACATAGTTTTTTTTCTGATTCAACATACAAATTAGACAAGAAAAATGTAGTTATAAAATTAATTTATTTTTAGTCATATTTTTGCTGCCAACAGGGAAAACATATGCATAGATTTTCACTGAGCGAAACATTTATTATATTCAGGAATGCATGACGGTGGACATCTTCTGTAATGAAATCTAAAACAAGATTTTTCGTAAGTATTCTTGAAAACCTTAATTGGTAGCATTGGATAGGTAATTACTTTCCAAGAGAAACTTGACATGCTCTATCCAATTATGTAGAGACATGTCAAAGAATAGTTTGGAGAAATTTTGAATTGTGTACATGTTAAAATGGTTGAGGAATGACTGAAATGAGTCGTTTTTTTGTAAAGGGTGATCTAAATTACAACAATTCACTACATAGTTATTAAGATCACTGTAAGATTTGTAAGTCACACAAACTTGAAGTATAAAAATATAAATAATTATGGTGAACATAATATTAATAGAATATAATTTCAATATACCATGAAGGATTGTTAGTAAGAAAATATTGACAATAATAAATATTGTATTATTTTATTAATGAAACTAAAATTAACATGATGGTCGGGAAATATAGTATTTTCTAACAGTCTGACGATATATTATGACTCGATTATTTATATTACGTTTACAATGAAACATGTTATTAAATAGTAAATTATTTTCTCTTGACAGTTTGTCGTTAATTCTTCGTCAGAGTTCTTATCTCTATTGCATGTTTTAGCACTGAAATAAAAGAATAAGTATTTCGTGAAGACTAAATCTAAGCATATTAAAATATTATTTTTAGTATCGTATGCTAATGAAACAGATTCACTATCATATCTATTCAGACATATCTATTTGCATGCATCGTCTGTACTTCGTGCTTATGTTTATACAACTTTATTTGATTATGAAATATCCAGGGACTTAGAAAATAAAAAAAGCAATATATTAAAATGATGAAACTGATATAAAAATTGATGTATTTCAATTTTATTAATTAAGAAGAACATTTTAATGAATCAAATGCAATGCACTTTAATTATGTTAATTTTTCGTGTTTTTAATATAAAATTTCACGAAAATCATGAATTGTTTTTTGATTTTTTTTTATGTACATGAGTGTCATGGAACTTTAATGCTCTAGAGGAAGATATTGTTGGTCCAACACAAGACCATGTAAATAAATAGTTAAATCATACAGTTGAATATTTTGAAGAATTAAATAAAGTTGTAGTTATAGTGAATATTATTAAATATTCAATTGAAGAAATCGGAAAATTTAAACAATTAATATCCGTTAAAGTTAGATAAATAATGAAAAATCAAAATCTATATTTTAATTAGCTGTGCAAACAAATTATCGATGTGTAAAACATTCAACGAATAACATATCACAATATGACATTGAACAAAATACGAATTTTTATCAGTTTGAAGTAATTAATTTATAAAGTATTATTTAAAATATATTTACTTATGTTCAAGGTTATGATAGACTTATAGCATTTTATGAACAAATTAATCAACTACCAGAATAATTAGCTAAGATTAATTGACAAGTCATTATTACATAGTGAAAAACAAATGTAAAAAAATCGATTTAAATTATAAAAAATATCTCAGCCAATAGAAGTATTTTATTCAGACATATAAACGATTATATTTTCCATTTTTCAGCTAAATAAATAAAAATTCTTAATGAATAATCAAATGTAACAAGGAGTCATCTATATTTAATATTAATTTATTTTTCTTCTATTGGATATCAATGACATCATATCATGAATATTGCATAGATGCAAAGAATATATATGCTCATGACGAATCTTTGACGTAAATAGGGTTTTCAATATTCGATCAAAACAAAACATTAGACTACACTGATGCAATAATAATAATAATAATAATATACACGTTTTTCATAGCCAGATATTGCATATGTCTAGATTAGTTGGATGGTGATATTTAAGGATTACGAATTAAATAATTTGAAGATATAAAATATGGTTATATATTGTAATTAAGTAGGTAGATGATGATGTCGTATTTAATACTAATACAATAATATCGTTGGAATGAAGAATAATACGAGAGAAATGTGGTCAAAATCAGTTCCATAAGGTATCTAGGACTTTTTTAAAATATACATATTCAAATGAATACCAGTGTTTTATCTAGATTGTCTTTTTCGGAGGGACCATTTTAAAACTTCGAGAGAAAACAAAAATCTATTTTTGAGAGCACAGAAATATAGTACGTGCTCAAATAACTAGAAAATTCGAGAAATATCAGCCTAGTTTTCGAAGAGGCGTCACCCCCACACATTTGATAAAACACTGATAAATGCCTTTGTCAATATGAACATAAACAAATTAAATTATCAATGATTTAAATTCGAATATGATAAATAATATTCTCTTTTAGGGACAATATAATTCTATTAAATAAACAATCGATTTACCAATTAGCTGTCTATATAATTTGCAGACAATAAATGATCAATATTTTTTAGAAAAATACAAAAAAAAAAAGCAAATGTTATAACTATCTTGTAGTTTGATACATTTTATTTTTCAGTTTATTCTGGAAAATCTCTCAACGAAATCCGTACAACATTATTATGTAAATTATGATAAATTCGTCGATGCTGTCAACAAGACAATTTTTAGCAAGATCTCGTTTTGCTTATGAGAGACACTTGGCTTTAAAACAAAAGTTTCTAAACATATGCTAACGTTTGTCAATATATGTGTCACCATGTTGCATAAGATAAATATTTCTTCGACATGTCTGAGATAGTATACGATATACTATTAGTGTTATCTATCTTTTTTATCACAAACAATAGCATGTCGAACATAACAAGTTTAATTTTCTTGTTATAAACTTCAATATTTATTGACAATGATGTCCGATAAAAATGATTTATTTATATGAAATTATCTTAAAATACAACTGTGACAATGATTACATATTTTATACATGTATCCTTACTAAATATCAATTGTTATGACAAAATAATGGTACTTTTGAATCAAAATAACCATTATGAAAAACAAAGTTGGATTATATTAAAATACCGATAAGACGGACATCAAGTTCCACTTATGCTTGAATAAGTTTCCGTGTTGGATGATTATTTTATAGATTCCCTCTAATCTATCCTCTCCCACGATAATATAAATCATACAATACACTATCTAAATATCATCGAAAGAGTAATCATACATGTGTACACACATACACACCCCGTTGTTGAATCATGAATAATCACTCATATATTATTATTAATATCAGCTCGTGGCATTTTTTCTCTTAAAAATAATTAAAAAATTTAGCAAAAAGGATAAATGCGAAACAAAATATGTTCTTTGTTTCTATCGTCATTGTGATATATGATGTGAAAACGCCATCAGAAAAGATAGAAAGCAAAAGAAAACAAGCGTGTGTCATATAATAGACGTCAATGAATTGCTTTCTATTCAAACCATGCGTTTTGACTCATTTTTTTTTTGCAAGGGCGTTATTAGAGAACGAAAAATTGTTTTTGTTGACAACATTTTTGTATAAAAGACATTGACGATGAGGACTGAAACAGTAACATCATCGCACGCGATCAGATCTTATTATCAATTGATTAACTAATTATGTGTATGAATGTTTTCCAACGAGAAGAGCAGAATACGACATTGAATCCTTCAATGATTAAAACTGGAGAATTATCACCGGAAAGAACGCATTATCCTAGAAGTTCATCAGAAAATAGTTTTATATCTTTTGATGATAATGAAATTATTGAATTCGGTCCAATTAAAGTAAAACGACGTAAAAACCCAGCACCTACATTAGCTACCGGTCGTCGATCGAAATATGAAATATTAAGTCCAGAAGAAGAACAAAAACGTTATATAAGACGAGCACGTAATCGTGCAGCTGCTGAACGTGTACGTATAAGTCGATTATGTGTTGAACAACAATTACAAGATCAAATAGACGGATTAGAAGAACAAGAACATAAGTTATTAAACGATATAAAAATGCTTCAATATCAAAAGCTACAGTTAGAAACACGAGCTCTTACGCATGAAAAAATGTGTTCTAATAGGTTTTCATCGAATCCGCAAAATCATCGCATATCTACATTTACCTCAAGTAGTGCTCCAATATCAACAACATTTCAACAATTAGAACATACATCTGACCTTTACTTTGAAGACTTGTTTTCTAATTCACCACCTTCTATACAAATTCAGCCAAATAATTATTCGAATGTGCTAACAACTATGACGCCCAGTGATGAATTAGATATTTTTTTAATGGATATGTAAATGAAATGAATATCTCAATGCTCTGCTTATTCATGAAACTATTATGTAATTAAATAATCCATTCAATATATGAAATTGTTTTTTTTGTTTGTTTTATTAGTGTTTGAATACGATAGAGTTTATGTAAGACAAAGCGATATCATCTTAGTAATGAAAAAGGATGAATAATAATTTTCGTTTTTTTTCTTTCAACAAGCTCATATCAATGAATCTTCATGTGTGATACATTGATTTTTTCAACTAGATTTGCTTAAAATATGATTTTGTTTTTTTCAGTTTTTGAAAACAAACAATATATCATGAAAATAATAAAAAAACAAAATAGATAAATAGAAAACTAAACGAAATATTTTAATTGACAACAATGGTACAATGAGAAATCATAGGAATTTATTGTTTTCAAGAGCTTTGCTTATTTTTCTCTCATTCTCCTTGAAAATCAATATCAACATCATTACATTTCTATGCGCCATTTAATTTACCTGCAGGCTGAATAACAAGCATTCTCTTTCTTTCCTTTTTGACATTTTATATAATCAATTTCGTTGACATGAAATTCTGTTTTTTTTTTATTCTGAACAAGTTCTCAAATATTAAAAAAAAATACTATTGCGTGTTTTACTGATCGTAAAATAAGTATTTCTCATCTAGTGCATGTCTTGGCTATAGTAAATATGATAATTACTCTTTGAAAAAGAATATGTATTGACTAATGTAATACATTTGATGTTGCATGTTAAGAAACATAAAATATTTATAACATGAATGGATATTTAGTATATTGTTAACCTTGTATTTGACAATATAACTATAATGAAAGAATAAGAAGAAAAAAAACCTTCGTATGAAATTTATTAATATTTGCAAAATAGCACAGCATAAATTTTGTTATTAAATAAATTTTGACATCCATATTATTTAGTAATATCCATTTTCTCTTAAAATATTTGCAATTGTAATTTGAATAATGATAAACATACTTATTTCAGTTTTCTATTATAGAAAAGGAGCAACATGTTCTTAAAGTCCGAGAAAAAACAAACTCAAAAAAGGGGTTGTCTGACCTGCATAATGAGAAGTGTTTGACCTGTGAAATAAGAATAGTATGACATTAATGGTATATTTTTCAGGTTATTTTGTTTTTCAAAGTGTTTGAATTCACTGACATTGATCAATAAAAAATTTGAAAGGAAGAGAAAATAAAATAAGCTATGCTCCTTTACTTCTTCATAAATGATTTAGCTACTCGGGTCAAATATTTGCTGATTGAATAATATAATTGAACAAGAATCAATTCAAAAATAAATAATTAACAAATCACAAAAGATATATTTTTTTAAAATTATAATTAACATCAAACTCGATATCGTATTATAAATATAATATAAACTATCGAATTTCAAATAAAGAAAATATTTAACAAGAATCAATTCTTTCAATAACATTCCTCAGTATTTCTGATTGAAAATAATTAACATAGGTTTTCTTCATTATATTATGTATTATACATAAAGAAACAAGGAAAATAACGATGATAAATGTGTTTTTTTTTCAATTGATAAATACTGACTACTAATATATGTATGTATTTAAATTAACTGATATTAAAAACTGAATGAAATCAGATGGATTAATGTCTAAGTTGCTGTCAAGTTTTTATTCTATTAAGATATACTGAAGAACTGCTTACCGAAAAGTTCAGTTTATTTATTTGATTATGAAGAATACACCGCAGTACAAAAATGATTATTAATATGAACAGGATTTCTCGTGATGCTTTTATATGAAAATGCGCGTCTAATCAAACTATCTATTTAGAAGCTGTCATTTCCGCTTATAAAAAACATTTTCCAACCATCAAGGTGCTTTTTGATTGGACGAAAACTTTGCACAACTACTACCTATATTTACGCCACTAAAAACTCATTTTAAATCATCAAAATGATTATATGCCGTCTAATTACACTACCTATTATTTGCGTCGTACTGATTTTAATTTCAACATTCACATCAATCAACAAGAACATGTTTCTATTTATAAAACGTTACATCACTCTTTATGACGTTTTTTATTTTCATATTAAAGAATATTTTATTATCATATACTATTTTATTTATGTATGGTGTTCCCCTAAACATATACCTCGAAATTTTGTCTGTACATAGAGAATACCTTCAATGGTATGTCTATAGAATAAAAACGAAGTTGCTGAACTATTCACTGAGTTATTAATTAAGCTTAAAAGTGATTGAAAAGTGTAGGTTAAGAAGTATTTCTAAAAAAAGATTTCTGGTGCTTCATATGAATGCTATAATGAGTTGAATCTGGTGTAGTCTTATAGAAAGTCATAATTAACACAATTTAGTGATGCTCTAGTATAAAAAAAAAACTAAATTTATCTTCTGTCAGAAAAAATCAAAAACAGTCTTGTAATATATAATTTGATAGATCTTGAAAAGTTCTATCGATTGCTCAAGTAGTTTCTATTGAAAAGTTTCATTTTTGAACAAAAAAGCTCGATATCATAGACAATATGCCACAAAATGGGCTCGTATTTTGCCATTGTAATCATTATATTTCTACATTTACGACCAAAATGGACATGATATTCGTAATTAGTATCAAAAACTGAGTTAAACAATACATTTTCTAGGGATAAAAAGATCCTGTCAAGGCTACACCTAGACGCCCCTCAGCCTTTTTAATATATCTCGTCAGTGGCATCTCCAGTATACGGCTTTTAGAAAAAAAAAAATTTTTTTCTCATGAAAAATATATTATCCGGCTCAGTTTTTGATGCTCATTCCAAATATCATATCCGTTTTACTCGCAAATATGAATATAATAGTTAAAACTGCAAAATACGAGCCCATTTTCTAGTGTATTATGCATGATACCGAGTTTTTTGTCTCGAAAATGGAACTTTTCAAGCTCTATCGAATGATATATTACACAATTGTTTCAAATTTATTCTGACATAAGAAAAATTTACCTTTTATACTAATCTCACTAATTAGTGTTCATTATCACAAATTGGTAATTAAACGCCACAAGAAAGTCATCTTTGATACCTTTTTTTTTGCATGGAATTATATCTACAAATAGTTGTTTACAAAACTACACCAGAATCAACTAATTATAACATTCATATGAAACACTAGAAATTTTAAAAAATGCTACTCAATGTAAATTTCACAATTAATTTCGAGTCTAGTCAATTAACAACTTGGTCAATAGTTCAGCAACTTTTTTTTTCATTGTATAGTCATACCATTGAAGGCATTCTCTACAAACAGAAAATGTTTGAGAGTATGTTTTGGAGGTGGATATGCCCACTCCTTAATCACGTTATTCTTTAAAATACGGATTATTCAGTTCAATAAGCTGTCAAAAAAAAATTCTTTTGCATATTTCCTCATTCACATTAAATTATCATAGGGGTTTAAGAAATTATTCTTTCTCATATGAAAACTCGTTATGCTAGGTACATTCAATAATTACTCTAAAATTTAAAATTACAAAAATTTTTGTGCATAAAAATCTTAATATAGACTTATTACAATTATCATCGAATGCTTCGAAATTAAGTTACAATCTTGAAATCTATCCTTTTATAGAATATGCAAAATACTTATGACAATGTTCCTGAAGCCCCCAATATATATCTAATAATATTTCCTATTACATTTTGACATGGGAATTATTAGTTCATACGTATTTCCTTCAACTATTGAAAATACATCGTATTCTAAAATATATACTTATTATTAGTTAAATAATAAGTATATAATTTAAAAAAAAATAACTAATTTTAAAGAAATGCTACATAATTAAAGCTTGATTGAACAGAATTTTCATATAATTCTTAATCCGAAATTAAAATATTATCACAAATAAACAACAGTTTAAACTAGAGTGAAAAATGTCTTTAGTAATTAAAAATATTGATGTGTTTCTTTTCGTTTTTATTCTTATAAATTCAAAGGAATGATACCGTAAACAATAAACGAGAACAACATGAAAGCAGCAAAGCAGGATGAAGTATTTACAAAAAAAGAAATTTACAAATCCGAAACAAATGATGCATCGGAACTAAGTACTGAAATATTTTGTCCCACTGATATATTTCGTTTTCGTTCATTAATTAAATTTATATTTATTTGATTTGATGATATTGTTAATGATTGTTTAGCTAAATTTGATTCACATGCATTATTTTTTAATATTATTGTTTTCATTGGTATTTTTTGTTTTTTTATTTGATTTATTTGATTTTTATTTGTTGATAATGCTAAATTTCTTTTCATAACTTTTTTTGAATGTAAATATTGATCATTATTTGTTGATAAACAACAATAGAAAACATGTTTAAAACTTAAACGAAATATACCACTAAGAAATGCATATAAAATTGGATTTGTTGATGAATTAACAAATAAAAGAATTTGTGTTATACTTGACATTGGTACAAGTAAAGAACTTGTTTGTGGTAATAATTCACTTATTGTTAGTATTTGAACTGTCCAATATGGTGAACAACATAATATATGTACACTTATAACAGCTAATACTAAAATAGATACTTTTCTTCGTGTACGTGTTGATGTACGTGAACGACGATGTTGTTGAGATACTTTATGTTTTAAACGACGTACAATTTGTATATAAAAATATATCATTAAACCAAATGGTAAAACAAATGTTATTGTTGATGTATATATAACAAATATGAGATAGAGTAAACGTGAATCAGAATATGGAAATATTATAGTACAATGAACTTTTGATGAAGCAGTCGTTTGAATTGTTGTAAATGCCATAATAGGTAACATCAAAATAAATGAAAGTATCCATGTTAATATTAAAAGTAAATTTGGATCAACTCGTGAACGCCATATTATAGATTTAGCTGAATGGCAAACAGCTAAATATCTATCAAATGCTAATAAAGCCAAAATAATAACTGATGTATATTGATTAACACCTTGTGTAAGAAAAAATAATTTACATATAAAACCACCAAATATCCATGCACGAGTTATAAGAGATGAAGCAAAAAAAGGTATACCACTTAAAAAGATAAAATCTGATAATGCTAAATGTAATAAATATGTATTTGTTACAGTTTTTAATCGACCATAATTAAGAACAACATAAATAACAAGTAGATTGCCTATAACCCCAATAAACATAACAATCACCAAAAGAACGGAAAAAACTATTAAAAATAAACTATTTTCAATCATTGTTGAATTATTATTCAAAATAGAATCGTTATTATTATTCATTGTTAATGAACAAATAAGGTTTTATTCTAAAACAAAGAAACCGTATATATATACATAATTGTAAGAATGCGTCGATTTCTCGAACGTGACGAAAAATATGATATTTTTTGTCCTTATTAAAAATATAGTTTCTGTGAATTGTTCATATCAACTATGATCAGTGTTATTTTGATCTATTCGAAGGTGTAGTCGAAAGTCATGAAATACAAAACCAAAAGTTTCAAAATTAGCAGAAAATTCGCATTTTTTTAAAGTTCTTTTTGGTTAACTACAACAGATTTTGAGACCTGTGTTTTACATTAAACAAAAAAATCTTAATAAAGCTTTGGAAAGAGTATTCAAAACTAATTCCAACTAGCATGAAGAATCTCTAGGAGTGTTCTAAATCTCAATACTGGATATGTGTTTTTGCAAGCAAGGCTCGATCAATTCCTTCACTTTCTAATCGAAATTTAGAATTTTTTCAGGATCGAGAATTATCGAACTCCTGGTGATACTTCATGTTAGTTGTGATTAGTTTTGAATCCTCTTCCAGAAGGTATTCTTAGGTTTTAATTAAATGCAAAAAAAACAGGTCTTGAACTTAGTTGAAATAGGTAGAAAAAACTAACAAATGCAATTGTTCCATCAATTTTAAGGCCTTTGTTTTGTTTTTCATGACTGTCGATTATAGTTTCGGAGAGAGTAATAAAAGAACTAATCATGGATAATATAAAGAACCCATAGGAATCGCATTCTTAATAAGATCAAAAATGTCATTTTTGTCATGTTGTTCTAAGAACTGGTGCATACTTACTGAATTGAGATATAAATAGCACGACGAGAAAAAAAGATTGTAATATCTCGACTTCGGTTCATTCAAATGTACTGTCTATTATTGACCTCAATTACAGTTTTTCTTATTATCAACTAAGAAAAACAGATGTTTGGTGTTCCAAAAGAATAAAAGAGTTATTCTAATTTTCAAGTATAGAATACTGACGCTTACAAGGAAATGGTCGATTTAGTGTCTAAAAGGCTTTAATTCTATGTTTAATCGCTATCGAGTATGAATTTCAATATTTAGAAAAACTAATTCTGGAGGTTAACTCTGAACATCAATTTAATATTATTTTATAAAGTTTATTTTGATTTCTTCTTTTTATTCTCTTAGATGACCAATGGAAATTATCTTGGAGCGCGCTACACATGTATTTTGCTTAGTTAATAATGGGTAAAATTTATTTAATGACGTCAATAATAGTACTTAATAGTAATATTTATGTACCTTTTTCGCATGAAAAGAATCAAACTATAAATAAGTATCTATCACAACGAAAAAGTAATCAGTTTGTTGGAATGAACCAAGGTGGAGATATTTCCGTTTATAATGTATTTATTATTTATGATCTATTCTATATAAGAATGTTTATCTTGTTTCTCTTTCTTTCTTACACGTTTAAATGTTATGAAAATAGAGAACAAAAAACAGTTCCTACGCAAGAAAAATGAATATCGGATGATCGGAAAGTGTTTAGATAAGATGTTTGTTTATTTTGACCTGTCTGAAAACACTTCAAACGTGCCAAAAAAATATAGGTCACGACCAGAATTTGAATATGAACTTAGACTTGATACATCTATTTTTATTCAAGAGTAGTGAGAGAATTTTCGAAAGACATAAAAAGTTACTTTTAATGGTGAAACAACAAATTTTTGTTTACCCTATAAGTTCCTTTTCGAACATGCAAAAAATTGTAGAAGTCGGTCGTTTTGTTGAACTAATAAAAAAACTTCTTCATCTGCTTCCTTGCGGTTTCAATGATTTTCTTTTGTCTATACATCCTACATAATCTAGGTTTTCAGATAACACGATTACTGAAATTTTGATCTGAAACTTTATGCATCTAGAGAATTCAACTAGACTAGCTACCATAAAAAAAATTCACTAATTGTGAACAAAGTCTCTTCAAGATATAAACCTTTCAAAAAGATGCATGTTCTATCCACTATCCTCGTAGAAGAAGATCTACATCTTACAAGTCTCATATATCGAAGAGACTTTCTTCAAAACTTCTGAATTTTTTAAATGAAAACTTGTCTAATTGAGTTTTCTATATGCACAACGTCTTAGATCATCATTCGAAAATATGAGTTTTCCGACAACCTGGAACTTCTAGGAAAAAACTCGGTAACTAAATTACGTATCAATAGGAATTCAAACCCTTTTTAGAACACAATGCAGTATCTATAGACTAAAAATCATGGAGATTGGAAGGGGACAACTGAAGAGGTTCTCTTGTAAGCTGTAGCTTTTATTCAAATAAGACTACAGACGTTTTTTCAAAAGCTTCTTTCAACGTAAAACGGTTGTCGATTTTTCTAAAATGAATACTTAGGAAAAACAAAAATTGAGGCGCCTTGTTGAAAAACATAAAGCAAACTTCAAATAGTGCATGTTATAGGATAGCTTCTCATCTAAAAGCTGCTACATTAATAAAGATCAGAACTTTTAATTTCGAATCGAAATAGTAAAAACACAAAAATGTGCGAAAAAAAATTCTGTTCACACTAATTTTTTCAACTTTTCAAAGATTATTTCGGTACTCTTGAACAAAAACTGTGATAAAATTTCTAAGGCGATACTGGAAAAAAGCACAAAATTCTCGTCTAAACTCATCGGAAAAATTTTCTGGTGGGTCACAAGTCAACAGACATCTTGTATAAAAGCTTTTCTATCATCTGTTACAATAATGGCAAAAAAATAGTAGAAATGAACATCAAAGTAATCTGAAAAGATGGAGTTACTCACTAATTTTTCTGCCAATTAATGATGGAAAAAAATATCCATTAGCACGTTTCTTTTTACAATTAAGATCAAAGGTTTTTTAACAACGTCTGGTACTAATCTCTAGTTACTCATTTTCTAATAGTATATTATATAGTTTCTTCTCTTTTTTCTTAGTAGGATATCTATTTCTTGACTACCGCAGTTTCATCTTTTTGATAATCATCGTCAAAAGAGATAGGTATTTAGTTCATTGGACTGAGAAGCATCATTTCTACTGTAATATCGTCTATTATTTTAATTAGATGATTATGTCTAATATTGAGAAGATATAACGATATGATAGCAGGAAATATTTTGAAGATATTTTTAATAGTAATTAGGAAAACAACAAAATTTTTAATTGAAAAATATAAAATAAAGGTTACCTGTTGAGCTATTTAAATTAATATAAAAACTGATGATTTCATTACAAAAATGCAAAGTATTTATACGAGATCTGATGAAAGAAAAAACAAGTTGAAACTGTAAGCGACATTTGCTACAAGGTAGACGAGTGCATATGAAAATTATTAAAAATGGAAATGAAGATACTTTTTCTTTTCATTCTATAATCTTTGTTATCGATTAAGAAATAGAGTTTTCTTAAGAAAAAATAACATTTCCTCAAGTGGTAGGCAGGGAAATCAACTCCTCGATATTCATGAATGGAATGGAATGAAGAGAGGAAATGAACAAGGAAAGAAGTTGAGAATCTTCTTATCATTTACTAAACTGAGAGTAAGGGATAATGAGAAGAGAAGACAATATATTTGTCTTCTTAGTTTAATGAAAAACATTGAGCAGTTTTAATAAAAAGGCAACAAGTAGATCAAGAGGAGGTAGAAAAATGGAAGCAATTGATAGAGAGAAGAAGGTAAAGACAAGTCGAACGCTATTTGTATGATGAGTGAGCAGTGAATTACAACTTCAAAAAGAAAATAAGAACCTCAATTCTAGCTTTTCTTTATGTTGTTTTTTAGAATATTAGTGTAAGAAAATTGGCTTAATAAAGATGAACAACCACTATTTACTTCAAGCTACCTCTTAATCTAAAGCTTTATAATAAGATCAAATCTTCTTTGAAAAACCCTAAATTTGCTGACATTAGATTCATTTTTCCAGATACATCAAATATTACCTTCAGTAAATAGTTTTTTCTGTTGAACGTTCATTCACCAACGCTCCAAGAACAATACTTACAGCGTACCAGAAATACAAAATTAAAGCAGACTTTTTTTTCTTTTTCTGCATATGGTTAGATACAGCTTGACGAGTTAATCTAAAACATGTGTGTTTAAAACTTTTTAGAATAAGTTTTTAGTTAAAAATTCTTATTTTTCTCCAATAACTTACTGTTTATGGAAAAAAGAAAAGTAAGTGTTCGGTAACTGACTAGTTTTCTATTTTTTCATTTGTCTCAAATTCTAAAACTATTTGTTTCGGGTTCAGCATGAAAACCAAATATAAGGTAATTACTTTAAAGTAATTTCCTTAAATTGGTTTTTCATGCTAAACCCGAAACAAACAGTTTTAGAATTTGAAATAAATGAAAAAAATAAAAAACTAGCCAGTTACCGAAAATTGGCTTCTCTTTTTTCCATAAATAGTAAGTCAGGAAAGAGTGAGCGTTTTTAACTAAAACTTACTTTAAAAAATTTAAAACACATAGTTTTTATTAACTCGCCAAGCTCTATGTAACTATACATAAAAAATGTAAAAAGAAGTCTGCTTTAATTTTGTATTTTCGGCACTTAATACCTGCCCCTGGGAAAAAATAGTTGTAGTCCGTAATTTAAAGTTGCCGTCACTGTAAAAACAAATTATATATTCTAAGAGTGCTTGAACGTTTTCTGTCATTTTATTCATCCATGTTTTAGTTTACATTTATTTGCTTCAAATATCAAGTTAGTGTAATGGAAGCACTTTCATCACCAGATCTTCATAGGCTTCATGCTGCTACAGTCATCAAAATAAGTTTTTCATCACTATAGAAGCATGCTTTTAAAAAAATAATTCTAGATTTTGAATGAGGTTGAACTTTTCTATTATTCCATATATTTTGCTATCACATTGCATATATTAGTGGCCACTAATATATGCAATGTGATAACAAAATATATGGGATAATAGAAAAGTTCAAGCTCTTTCAAAATCTAGAATTACTTTTTTAAAAACATGATTCTGTAGTGATGAAAAACTTATTTTGATGACAGTAGCAGCATGAAGCCTATGAAGATCTGGTGATGAAAGTGCTTCCATTACACTAACTTGATATTTGAAGTAAATAAATGTAAACTAAAACATGGATGAACAAAATGACAGAAAACTTCAAGCACTCTTAGAATATATAATTTGTTTTTATAGTGACGGCAACTTTAAAATACGGACTACAACTATTTTTATTTTCATGCGCATAAATTGGTTCTTATAGCCATGATTTTGTCAATAGTGTATTATGATGAATAATGAATAGATAGATATTGGTACTAACCAACAAATGAACTTCCAGGATATATAGTTTCTTTTTAGCATCTATATTTTACAAAAGAAAATAAGATATGCACAGCGGACAGCAATTTTCTTCTTTTTTTGTTTTTTTTTACATCCGATTGCTAATTCGTTTCTTCCTATATATTCTCATTTATCTTATCCGGCATCAGATTTTGTCAACCTACAATTACCAATTCTATGCTCAAAGGTATAATAATCTATTGACGCATCCTTGGAGGATTAAAATGTGAAACATGATAATACTTCTGATATTATAAAAGAAATACTATACCAACAATTGTTTTTGGTCCGTAGATTACTACCTACCGTTACTGTATGTCAATGATGAAAGGTAATAATCATAATATATTATAATTAGTCTACAAGAACGACTAAGAACAATTATCTTTCAGTTCAAATTTATTTCATACTAATCCTGCAATCTCGCAAACATGCTTGTCAAGTTTCGGAAGAGAGGCGGAGCGTCCATCTTAGTTTCTGACAAATGATTGCTAAAATATCTATCTCATTCGTAGAATGGTGACCTACATTTCTACTCGTCTGTTTCAATGTTGTTTATAGATTTTGTTTTTCAAAAAGCAGCAAAACAACATAATTTGCTATGATAATTATTTATCATTTCGTCTTGACTTTGAGCACATGTATGCCAAAATGAATTAATACATTGTTCGATTTAGTTATACATAAATCTGTCGTATGTTTGTTTTTTGTGTGCAAGAAAAAAAAAAGAAAATTGATAAAACATATACACAAGAAGCAAAGAAAGAAACACAAATGAAATAAAGAATAAAATTTCTCACACATACACTAAAAAGATATAAGATTGAAGTAATAGTAAATAGAAAAAAGAAAACCGATTATCTCGTTTATATTAATTTATATATAACACGTATCTGTCCTTGGTTTTGTTTTCTTTTTCAAAATATATATTTGCTTGTGGAAAAATCGTCACAAAAATATGAAGAGAACAAAAAAGAAGTTATGACTTTCTTGATTGTCGTATGAAATGTAAATTTCTTTCTTAATTCGTTTTCAGTTAAACATCTCGACTTTCATAGAATAAAATATAGCTAGTCTCCGATTGACGACCAAGATCATGAGAAACACCATAAAATTCTTCAAAATTGGACGGATCAAGTCGCTATTAATAAAGAACAAACAATATGAAATGATATAATCAACAAGAAAAATTCTTACATCAACAGTTTCATCATCAAAAACAAGCCAAGAACCGTCTCGTTTAACAACAGCTATATAATGACCACGATTTGGACCAATACCACAATGAACAACAAGGGAAACAAGGTCATAAATACGATCACTATTTGTACAATCTTCTGACTAAAATTTAACAAAATTATACATAAAAAAAAAGAAACAAGAAAGGAACAATTAATAAAAAACACTTGTTTTTTATTTCTTACCGTATTAAGTAATCGAAGTTCAAATGGAAAAACTACACGATAGGATAATTTTTTATATTGTTTAAATACTTCAAAATATTTAAAACGTTTTAAATGAAGTGCTAATATACGTGGTAATTTTTTGATACGCATTCTATAAATAAAAATAATATCAATTGTTAGAAATTCTATGCTTCTTGTTTTCTATATTTTTAATTTTACCTTTTTGTTGCTTCTTGTTTACTGGAACATGTTTCACAATAATATTTTGATTCGCCTGATAATGTTTCAACATTACTAAATACTCGTAAACATGTTGTTATTGAAGTATTTTCTTCAACATCAATTGATAGATCAAGAAAATTTTCATCTTTACTGCTAACCTAGAAATAGAATATTTTAATTATTTAAAAGATATGTTCAAGTAAACTGTTTTCTGTAGACTAAAATAATTTGCTCAATCAATTATAAAATAAGTCTAAAGAATACTTATTAAGTTCATTTATGATATGACTCGACTAAAACTCTCTAGTGTCATGCAATATACTTATTCTATGCAATTTATCAATTACAGGAGTTACGAGGGTTTAAGTAGATAAACCTGGATGAGTAAAAATTACATGAACTAAAAGAAATAACATTATTTGAAGTTTTTATTCAATTTTTTAAAACGTATTATTCATTTATCTGATACAGAGGTTCAATCTTTTGCTTATCTTTCTACTCTATATTCACTTTAAAGTATTAGTCAGAGTGTTCTTCATCGAAATTCAGTAATTTGCATTTCCACAAACTATCATTTCGACAATATACTGACATGATATGCTTGCAGTATATATCCCCCTGGACAAAAATAGTTCGACAAAGTATTTTCAATAAATTATTACTATAAATTAACCTTTTTGAAAAAGTAAGGATATATTCGGATAGCTCGAAGAGTTCTCTACAAAACTATATATAAACATTTTGGATTGCAATTCTCCTTAAAAAACAAATTCACGTACAATAAAGGCACCATCATGTTCAGATTTCCAAAAAAGAAATTTTTTTTAATTTTCATATATTTTTTCAATTTTTT